TCAGTCTTTAGCTTGATGATGTGTTTCTTCTGTTTTTCACCTTGTTGGCAAACTTCTTTGCTTCTGAGGCACAGTTCTTTGTAGGAAGCTGCCAGTTCTTCAAAGGTTAATTCATCTTCATTGGAGTCTTCATCAGAATAGTATCTTCCAGTTAAGGCAGTTATATGTTTGGAAGATTCTTCTTCAATATCACTGTCAGATTCTTCATCAGTCCATGAAATAGCTAGACCTTTTTATTTCTTGAGATAGGTTGGACATTCAGATCTGATGTGACCAAAGCCTTCACACCCATGACACTGTATCCATTTACTATTTGTGGGTTTTTCTTAAGTTCTAGTTCTTCTTCCAGCATCATTTGACTTACTGATGTCAAGTGAGATGTTCTTAGCATTTGGTCTTGTATCCATTCTTTTCATTACCTTGTTGAATTGTCTTCCCATCATAACTATGGAATTTGATAGATTAGTATTCTTATCAGATTCATCCTCTCTTCTTTCAGTTTTTGACACAAAAGCTATGCTCTTTTTCTTGTCAGTTTTGTCACCTATTCCAACTTCAAATGTTAAAAGAGACCCAATGAGTTCATCAAATCTCATTTTACAAATGTCTCGGGCTTCTTTTATAACATTCACTTTCATGTTAAATCTCTTGGGAAGAGATCTGAGAATTTTTCTTACCAGCTTTTCTTCAAACATCTTTTCACCAAGAGCACTTGAAGCATTGGCAATTTCAAGAATATTCATATGAAAGTCATGTATGCTTTCATCATCTTTCATTCTCATGTTTTCAAACTTAGTTGTAAGGAGTTGAAGCCTAGACATTTTTACCTTGGATGTGCCTTCATGAGTAGTCTTTAGAATCTCCTATGCTTCCTTAGCAATTTCACAGTTGTTTACCAACCTGAATATGTTCCTATCAATTCCAGTGTACAAGGCATTCAAGGCCTTGGAGTTTCCTAGAGCTAGATCATCTTCTTCCTTTGTCAATTCTTCCTCAAGTTTTAATTCAGACGCAGCCTTTCCATCTTTATCAACAATCATAGGATGTTCCCATCCCTTGATGAAAATTTTCCATGCCTTATTGTCCAGAGACTTTAAGAAGGCAACCATCCTAGGTTTCCAGTAGTCATAATTGCTCCCGTCCAGAACAGGTGGTCTGTTCACAAATCCTCCTTCTTTGTCCATGGTACCAGAAAGTATCGTCCCTAGATCTCACCCAAAACCAGAGCAGGATGCCTGCTCTGATACCAATTGAAATTCTGGTATCAGATATTAGATGTCGAAAGAGTTATTTACGACACAAATATCTGTTTAATAAGAACAAAGATAAACAAATAACAATTGTAAAGAGACACAACAATTGTTAACCCAGTTCGGTGAAATCACACCTACGTCTGAGGGCTACCAAGCCAGGGAGGAAATCCACTAAGTAGAATTAGTTTGAAGATATACAGTAGACTCTATCTAGTTTACCATCTTATCACCTAATCTCTACCCTTGCAATTTATGCCTAGAACACACCTAGGCAAGAGACACCTCTCACTCCCTCTCAATCACATCAGTGATATTAATCAACTAAATAAGAAGACTTTAGAAGACATTCTTCAAAGTCACAACTTGATCTTGATTAAAAGCTTTAATCAAGTACAATACAATCTTGCTTACAAGCTTTGAGTAAACAATTTATAATTAACAACCTAGTCCAATTCACATATTAAACAATGAGTGAATGGCTCACAAAACTAAAACACACGAAGGTATAAACCTTACACAAAACACATACTTTTAATCCTTTCTTGTATGATCTACAAGCTAGGGTTTACGCCTCCTTAAATAGTAATGTAGACTGGGCTTGGGCTATGGCAAAAGTAACAACAGATTTGAGAAGATTTCAATCTTCATAAATTACACCAATGAAACAGATTTGATTTGATCAATCGGATCTAATCAAATCATTCTTCCAATCTTCAATCAACCTTCTGAGAATAACTCCATGTCAAATCAAATCCGATCTACAAGAAGTGCATCAGAAACGCCTTTAAAGAACCACTAAAAAACCTCGCAGATTAAACCAAAATAGTGCAACAAGCTTGCACATAAAGAAATGAACACAATCACATTCATACAGAATGTCTTGCCCATGAGTTTCAGGACATCTTGTTTGACATCATGAGATAAGTCCTGTTATAAAGAACAAGGCAACCTACAGATCCTGACAGACAGATGTCACGACATCTTGTAGAACATTTTGTGATTACACCTAGTTTTACCAAAATGCCTGCCAATCAAGAACTAACAAACTTGAATTTGAATGTTTCTGCCTTGATTTTTCTACCACTTTTGGCTTGATTTTAGTGAATCATCTCATGATTTTAAGTGCCTTTAAGAAGTGATTTTATTTTGAAAATAAGCACTTTTGAATTGTGTAAATTCATGGACCAGAGAAACTTGTTAGAAAAGATAGGTTGCCTCCCAAAGAAACTTAGTGAATCAATATAAAGTGTTTTACATGTTGATTGCGAGACTACCCTATCAATTGAGTGAGTCATGGTGAGATGAGAGACAAGTTGAGTACTTGTCAAAGATTGAATATTTTCTGAATTTGTCGGATTGCAGTTGGAATCTAAAATTGTTGTCAAGTAAAAAAATCATATGATAATGTTCACTGGTTATTGTTGCAACTTATTTTTCTGTTTGGAATTTGCAGTGCAGGCAAGTTACTTGAGAACAAGCAACAACTCAAGTTTTGATTTTTGATGAAACTCTGTCATTTAATGTTTTTGTCAAAGAAACAAAGAAAACAAGTCGAAGATGATCAAAATTTATGAATAATAGCCAAAGAACAGAGCAAAAATGACCAAGTATGAAGAGTTAGGGACTTAGAGAAATTTGGCTGAAAAAGGAGAAAAAGCGAGCAAGCCACTGGAATAATTACGCGTTGCATCGTACGCGCGATAGAAAAGAAGAAAAATGGTATCACACACGTGGAAGAGCAACCAAGGCAGCATCGCACGCTCGATGCAGTCTATTATGGGTGCGATGAGCCCTTTTCTGGGCAATTTCTGACGCATTCTGGTACGATTTAATGGCTATAGAAAGGAAGACTTTGGTCTTTTTTAGGGGTTATGTGATTGGAGACTGTGGAGTATGATTTACAACATCATAAGTTAGTTTTTAAGCGCATTCGGAGCCATTAGAGGTCAGATCTTCAAGGAATTCTTGTGCAATGTTATTCTTATCATTTGGTATTGTATTTTATCAGTATGAGTAGCTAAAAAGTTTTAGGTTAGGTTTTGTCTGAGAAATTTGTTTCGAATCTGTTGGGACATATGTTTAATTTGATGTTGCATGAATTATCTTAGTTATATTTCTATTTAATTTCTTCTTTTACTTAAAGCGCATTATTTGAGATATTCTATTAATGTGATTATGGACGTATAAGGAATAATGACACTTAGCCTATGCGTATGATATAGGTCAATCATCGTACTTATGTCGATTGAATAGGAATATAAGACCTCGAGTAGTGGCCATAGAGTTAATGTACTGTATCAACGTTTGATTTCACTTATGTCGGTTGAATAGGGATATGAGACTTCTAGTAGGAATCAATGAGCTATACACTAAGGGATTTGGTATAGTGGTATTGTTAACTCTCCGTGGAAATATAACGACGCTTGATTTATATAATGCATTAAACATCAACAGCGGAGAAATAGGGGATTCTAGGTAAAACTTAACCACTTTCTATAAATTGTCAGAACACTTCTTTTATTTTCAACTGCAAACTTGACTCCTCCCCCCCCCCCCAATTGTTACTTTTTAGACTTGCACAACTATTACTTTGTTAAATAGTAGTCCTTGTGAATTCGATACTCTTTTTATTACAACGAAACTATTGGTACACTTGTCGAGAAGACACCATTGTTCATATTTACTTTCCTAAAAAAGGAAACAAAAGACTAGTTACCTACTTTTTCATCTCAAACATTTAAAACTAAGGATGATCATGAAAAAATAGAGAAAAAAGAGAAATAAGAAAGCAAATGGGTGAAAGAGAGATATCGATGAAAGATATTAGATATAAACTATATTTATGTGTGTGTGTGTGTGTGCGCGCGCGTGAGAGAGAGAGAGGGGGGGAGAGAGAGAGTGAGAGAGAGGAGGTGATAGATAGTAAAAAGAACAGACAAAAACAAGAAAATGCATGAGTGAAAGAGAGATATTAACAAAAGATATTAGATATAAACTATATTTACGTGTGTGTGTGTGCGCGCGCGCTAGGTAACCAACTTCCCTTTTTATTTTCTAGGTGGTTGTGCTTACCTCTTTTCAGCCCGCTCTTTCTAGGGGCGTGCTTGGTATTTTGGGTGTGATTTTTCGTCGATTGTGGGTTGTCTTATGATTTTGTGTTTCGAGATTTTGGTGTTTGTTCTTTTTCTCTTGTTTGTTTTTTTGTTTGTTGTTGTTTGTGGTTTTAGTGCACCTTTAGTATGCTTGTCTGTATTTTGTACTCTTTTCTTTTTCAATAAATTTTCTCTGATTTTCCATTAAAAAAAAAATATATAAGGTCATTTTAAGTTTTTAACAACTTTTTTAAAATGTTCGAGAATGTTATTATTGAGTTAAGAAATAAATAAACACTTATATTAAAACACGTATAAGTTTAATATTACTGTATTTAATAAAATTGATAATCATACACGTGACTATAATAATAAAAATAAAATATAAAAATATATTGTATGGATATGAGACAGGTGGGTACTAAAATACTGGTATCCACACACATATCTATTTATTTTAATGTGTAATTGTCCTAAACATGTTTGTATTGATTTTATATATTTGTACTATATTTATTATAGATAATTTTTTACCAGCTAGATAAATTTAATTGTCATTCTTTTTTTTTTGAATCAAGAAATTTTGGCATTAATTCAAAAAACCATACAAAACAAGGCGATCAAATGATCCAACCCACAAAACAATCAAACTACCTTAAGGCAAAATAAACCTAGCTATACGTGGTCTAAGCTTTGGACTAGTCCACCCTCTATACATTATATTGTAAATAATTCTATCAAGGCAATTCCTGTTATCAGTTCTATGATTAAAACAAGCTTCGTTTCTATAAAGCCAGATCTCATGAAGAGTTTCTGTAAGGGCAAGCTTAACCAAATCAGATTGCCAGCCTTTCCCACCATAATTGCTCAGAGCCCATTGCATTTCCTTTTGCCATCTTTTTGGAGTGTGTTGAATGCCCAACCACTGAAGAATACCACTCCATATTTGCTTCAATTCCACACAACAAAAAAATAAGTGATCAATGGTTTCCTCTTCATTGCAAAAAGCACATTTGTTATTGTTGATCATGCCAAATCTGAACAGTCTTGACTTGGTTGCTAGCTTTCCATGACAGATCGTCCAGAGAGTAATAATTGCCCGGGGTCTATCTCTATTGTGAAGGATTAATTTGGCCCATGGAACATTAGGAGTAATAGGTAAGAGGCTTTGATACACTTTCCTCCCATGGAATTTACCCATCTGCAGCATAGCATCCCATGTACTTTGTATGGTCATTAGCTTGTCCCTTTGTATTATAATCGCTTTGAAAATTCCAGAGTCAGATCCCTTAACCATTCTAATCAGAATATCTTCATGTCTTAAGCATGTATCCAACGCACCCACAAATCATCAGATTTTGCATAGATATTTCAGAGAAGTTTTATCACAAACATACTATTCCACACTCCCAAATTCATCACAATAATTATTGTGAAATAATTTAATTGTCATTCTTAATTTCACAATAATTGTCTTCTTAATCATTTTTATTGTCTTAAATTATTTATTATATTGAAATATTAATACAACATTTATTATTATTATTATTTGTATTTGTTATTTTAATTCATATAATTATTTAACTATTTATTATTAATAAAATTATTTTAATAAAAAAAACATATTTTATTATCCAAATCATAATGGTTAATTATTATCTTAAAAAGATGACACGTATAATCTTACCTATATCACGTTTAACCGTTTGTTTCTCTTTGTGAAGCTTCACCCCTACTTTTACTTTAATTTATTGTTCTTTTTAGACAATTTTGATACACTCCTTTTTTTTCTCAATGTTGATAATAAAGATTTGATTCCTACTAATCGTGCACTCCAACTCATTAAATACACTTTATCTTTCAAAGTTAGCATATATATGACCCTACATAGTGAGAGATATTTATAGCAACTTACAAATCTATGTCATCTTTTAAAAAAATTAAGTTTTAGTTCATGTTTCAACTGATTTATTTTAATGATACATCATTGAAAAGTATTAAAATATTTTAATTTAAAGACTAATTAAATCATTAAGTTAATGATTAACAATAACATGTCATCTAAAAAATAACTTAGAATATATGATGACGTGAACTTCTATAAAAAATATTAACTAAAATACACAATAAAAAATTTAGAGAAACCTTATTTTTTTAAAATAAAAATAAAAATGAAAGTTTGTATATTTAAAAAAAATTAAATCTTGTTTAATACTAAATAAAATTAGATTTAATTCAATTCACAATCAATAAATAATTTTTTTTATTTGCAAAAACAATAATAAAGATATATAGGTTGTGTTTGGATAAAGAACATATTTTTATAACTTATAATATAAACACTTGTTAAGATAAATGTCTATTTATAAACCTAATACAACGAGTTGATTAGCGCTAAAAATGAATCCAATTGAATTTCTTTTAATTTGACTCAATTTATTAAAAATCTATTTATTTTAAATTTTGATTTGAATTTAATACTATCTTTTTAAAATTAAAGTTCGACTCGTTATAAGTTCATGAACAATTCGATTCAACTTATTAGATTTATTTCGTTAGGTTTAATTTGCTTGTTTCACAAACTTAAAAATCTATTTTATATAAAAATCTATTTCATATTTAAAAATCTATTAAAAATCTATTTATTTTAAATTTTAATTTGAATTTAATACTATCTTTTGTTGATATTTTAAATTAATGATTTAAAAAAATATTAAAATAAAATAAAAGTTATAAGATTTGTAAATATTTCATATTTAAATCTTTAAATCTAAATTAATTAAGATAAAATTTAAAAATAATATAAAAAGCATTTACTACAAATTTTAAAAATCATTATTTTCTTAAAGATAGTTTAAAACAAATTAAAGATATATGTTTTTTTTTTTAATTTAAAGATATTTTTATATGATGTAAAATAAATTTAGAAGATATATTTGATTTTCTTAAATTTAAAGAAACTCACAAGATATATTTTAAATTAGAAAATATCTTTTAAATTATTTTCTTAAAAAACATAATTTATATGATGTTGATTTTATTTATGCAATTATTTTTTTAAATAGTTTGCTCATTTGAAAATATAAATTATCAATTAAAATCGTTAGATTATAAGAAAATATAGGGTTAAAATTTGGAGCACATCTTTAAATTTACTCTTAATCACAATATAATTCTTCTGATATATAATTGATTTGACTCATGAACTTAACGAGTTGAATTATTCTTCTCATATATAATTGAATTGACTCATAAATTTAACGAGTCGAACTATACATAGTTTAAGTTCAACTTATTAATTAGCAAAATTATTTTTTATTCATATTTAGTTCATTTGATTCATAAACCTAATTCAACGATTTAATTGTCGAATTCAAATCCGAACAATATTTGAGTTGATTTAGTTTATTATGAACCCTAGATTAGACGAATACACCAACTATTAAAGGTACATCCTATGTTAAACTCATCAACAAATTAATTTTTTAATTATATATTTTTTAGGTATTTTCTTTTTTACCATCAGAATTCGAGCTATAACACCGGATAATCTGATTTGTAGCCAATTCTATTATAATTATAGAATATGCATATATTAAAAAAAATATGTTTAATCACATTATTATTTTTTCATTTTTGAAAAAAATCGCTTTTTAAAATAAACATTTTAGTAGTTGAAATACTTTTTAAATAACACTCAACAACTTTATGTAAAAATAATAAATTGAAAAATATTAAGAGCCTCTTTGTTTATTTGTGTGAATATTTTTTTTAATAATCAATTTTAAAAAAAATTCAAATAATAATTTTTTTAAATTATTTACTTAAGTAATCGTGTTTCAAATAAAAAAACTGTCACAAAGAGGATATGTGTCGTATCCCAAACTTTACTTTTAGATTCACTGATCATTCACATATCATTTATCCATGCATAGTTAAACATTTAACCAGTTTGTTTATGTTGTTTTGTGAAGTTAGGTTGTTGTTGGAAGTTCAAGAAATCATGGAAGCTTTACATGTACCTCTTATCTCCTGTAGACTCCTCAGTCAATACAAGTCTTGCCCCTCAAGGTTTCTCAGAGATTTCCCAAGAAAGATTAGGGTCTCCTATCCGTTGAATTTAAAAAAAATTGGTTTAAAAACTGGTGGAATTTGCATGCTTAATGTGAACCTCTAAAGATTTGTGTTAACAACATGATTTTGATCTATTTATGAAGGAGGTTTATTAATAGAGTATGAATTGGAACGTTGGATGTGGACGGATTCGAGTTTATACAAGCAAACTTCAAATTGAGACGCATGATCTACTTCTTCGCAGATATCCATTGAACTTGCCACAAATTCAATTTTGAGTTTTATATTCAAGTTGCAACTCTAAAGAGATCTCATATCAGAATTCCAAATGGAACTATGCCATAGAGTTGTTAAGAGTTTTCGATTCAAAAGGATCTTTTGACATTTCATTTAAGTGCATAAGGAGCTAATTTTTGAAATTATAGAACTCAAGTTAAAATGAAGAAGTTAAAAGTTTGATTGAGCACAAAAGGCAAATTCAAGATTAATGTTCAAATTCAAATTTTGTTTCATTATTTTCTGTCCTGACGAGTTCACAAATGCAAGAGTTTTTTGAAAAAGAAGTACGGATTACAAGTTTCATCTCAAATGATGTTACAATTGTTTAAAGTCCTAAGTCTTGGAAATTTCTAAAGGCAAATCCTTTTGTTTTCCAAGCAGCTTCAAGCAACCTACTCTTCTGAATCCTTACGCCTGCAAAATAATAACAAGGAATTTCAAAAAAGAAAAGAACAATGAATTTTTTTATAACAACCCTCAGTTTCAATAGAATGCATCATTGGACAGATAGAGGAAGGGCAACAATGGATTTGCCACCGGCTCCCATTTCTAAAAACAGACAAACAATGGTAAACCAACAACAACAATTTCAAAGCATCTTCGTTCAGATATATCATCATCATCACGTTTCTGAAAAATTCCTCTCGCAACACCAAGCAAAGAAAAAAACCAGACAATATCTATTCATTGAAGAGATAAAAACAAAAATGGATTTTTGTCAAAAGAAAAATAAATGAAGAGACACAGTTCAGCTTCTCAACAGCAAACCAAACACGGTTCAACTTTCCAAAACCAGCATCAATTTCATAAAAAATGGAAATAAAACAGCATCAACATTTCCACGAAAATGGAAAATACTATCACCATCAAAGATCAACCGAAAAGGAAAAACATCACCATCATTGGCCATAAGCTGAAAATGGAATCAACATCAAAAGGCAAAAACGAACTTGGGAAATCATAAAAACATTTCCAACATATCAAAACGAAAAAGGAAAGATTTTTAAAAGCTCCCTTTAAATCGTTTTAAAAACCTAACTATAAAAGAAGAAGAAAGAGAGCATCAAGGGGAAAAAATCGGAAAAAAAGTCAAGAGCTCAAAAAACCTTCATCATAGCCCAAAAACCCAAATCTTCCTCAAATCTGTAAAAACCCAAAATACCATCACTGTTTGCAAACACAAGATCGCGAAAACCATCAACGGATCCGGAAAGAACATCACCAGAGGGAGGAGAAAATCGAAATAACAAAAAGGGCTCAGAGCGGAAACTCATCACAGCCCAGAAACATCCACGAACATCATCAAAATGTTCGCGAAACCCAGAAACCCAGCTCGCGAAACACGAGATATCCACAACCAAAACCAACGAAAACCACCACAAACCGTCCAAAAAAACGTCAACGTCCAACAAACCATCAACAAACAAAACAATCACAAAACCCTTAGATCAAACTAATCCACAAACAAACCCGGAAATCTCAACAAAGCATCCACGAATTCACATAATGAAACAAATCCGCAAACCCAAAAAACAAGGCTCTGAACTCCGTTCATCATCGCTGGAAAATTGTAAACACCAGAAACGCAACCGTAAGCCCCAATCTCTTTAACATCATTTGTTTTGTTTGGTTTTTTTTCAAGTTGGAGAAGATCAAAGGTTAGAGAAGAGAGATAAGTCACGTAAACAAAAGAGAGAGGAGAGGAAGAGATATCATGCAAAAGTTTCAGATGAAGAGGAAAGAGATGGGCGACTGGGAATTAGGGTTCCCAAGGAATCCTTTCCTTCTCTTTTATATCCCGGGTTAGGGGGGGGGGGGGGGGGTAGCGGGTCAAAACCTGGCCCAACCCTTATTCTCTTTTTTTTCCAGCTTTTGTTTATTTCAATTATTTTGTTGTCTTTTTTTGTTTTGTAATTTATATATAAAATAAAATACTAACATAAA